GTGGCTTCGAGCCAAATCCAGGGCTTGAAGGATAGCGGGAAAGATGATGAGCCAGCACAGAGTATGTGTATTAAAAGAAGTTTTAACATGAGAGGGGGGTACACCAACTCCTGCCCACTGTCTTGACTACCTCGCGAGGACTCATGTGGCATGAAGAGGACAACAGCATTCAATCCTGGAAACCACATCAACAGACTATGGAATTGCATGCAGAGCATTCAATTCTGTCCAACCAAACCACAGCAGTGAACATCACATGCCACTGACCTGGATGGGTGTACACATGTATTCATTCATGATACATGTGCTGTGAGGAAACCTCTCCAAGATCCTTATTATGGCCCTTGCCATGTTCTCATGTGTACAGCAAAATTCTGTACATTTGACATCAAAGGGGACTGAAAGTTTACGCCACCATCAATAAGTTCTGGTCATTCATTTCACTCAAGATCTAGGAGGGAGCTGATGTAGCTGATGTATTCAGGGCAAATTCTGTTCCTTCATTTTACAAGACATGCAGCAGCTGCATTGTTTGTACTGGGGTGGTAGTTTTACTGATGATGTAATTGGTGCTCCAAGCAAGTTGAAGTTCAAGCAATTATTTAAACTGCCTAATGTCTTCAATAACACATTTACATTTCTGTTCACAAAAGAATTTTTCTGCAGGAAGAAATGAATAGAATCATTAACTTGTGGAGATCATATAAATTAAGTGTACTCTTTTTATTACACAGTTGTATGCATACACAGGATTTACTTGGACTATAATGTTATCATTGTGGCTAAGGGAGCTTGTCCAAAAAGTTGAACCGCATTTTGAATGCAGACAGTGCTGTTTTCACGCGTCCGTAGAAACCAGCCAACTGTCCACTGCCTGTGCCAACTTACCATATCAAAGGAACTCGCTAACAAAGTCCCCTATTGTTATTTAAATTTTGCATGGGGTGCAGCTAGCAGAATTCGACCGCGGTGGCTGTGGTCGGTTCCACAGACTCTTTGGCGAGCCGCGGCCACCGCGTCTATTTTAATTTATTGGAATCCAGTCTTCTAGCCCTTAATTCTTGCAAAAGAGTCATGTTCAGCAACCTCAAGGTCGTCATCCCAGAGCAACTTTGAGAAGTGCTTCAAGTGAGTTTTTAGACTCAACAGTCTCCAGAATATGTAAATGTCAGAGTGGTGAATAAAGCGGGTATTTTTTGTCTCGGACATTTCTGTTTTAATAGATGTATACCTACATGGTCAGTTGGCCGTTGCATATATTTTGGTGCAGGGAAAGAGGAAAGAGCAAATTTAATATACACCTATAAAAGTGTAAAGGCTGGTCCATACTTCAGGCGAATGAGAAAATGAAGCGAATACGATGTCATGAAATATCTGTAGCGATCTTTCGCCAGAAGTGAGTTCGACTATTGCGAATTCTGACCTCTAAATTGTGCATACGTGTTTCCTTTCCTGCTGAATATGAACTGACCCATTTTCAATGAATGTTTGCGAATCGCGGTGGTAAAAACGCATGCGTAGTGCGTCACACTGGTTCCCAACAGGCAAAGAAGGTATGAGAAAAATGTATCAACCAGTCAATGTAAAGTTCCTGCCAAAAAGATCACGAGTGTTCCACTACATGTACATCGTATATGACTGCAGCTCTACAGTCAAAAAAACACTGCCATCACAAATTTTTCTGCAGGTTCATTCACAAAAAGTAATCTCATGTCTATATTTGTGTTTTCCGTGTTCATGTATGTACTGCTGTTATAACAAATGAGCGTGTTTCCACAGAATTTCCGGCCACAGCACAAGACTAATCGCCCGCCCCTCCAGATGCGTCACACACTCTTAAAACACAATACACAGACAACGTTTGCCAGTTTCCTATAGTCGTGACTAATGTAAAGCACGATTAAAAAATAAATAACTGTTTACATTGATTACACAAACGTCGAATAAAAATTTCCTTCCCAATCCTGATAAAAATACGGCCAAATAGGTTCACTCCACTACTCTCACATCTAAAGAACCCAACTAATCGCCTAACGCTGAATTATTCATGTTGCTGCAGAAAGGTCTAGCGTACCCACCAATGAGACTGTGCATTTTCATGACGTTCATTTTGCAAGACACAGCTATCCAATCATAATGTATGTATTCCGTCATGACATCATGTTTCTTCAGTGACCATCTCGCATGCGGGCGGCCATGCCACATGGTGGGCAAGTGAACTCGGATTATTGATAAATCGTGTCAAGCAGCTCATGTCCAAAATGATAAGACAGACGGAAAATAAATGAAAATGTCTCTTTATGACACAATTTGTGTTGGAAAGACTACTTACATTTATGGGGGCTCCAGTTGATGAGTCTTCACATTCTTGCAGGTACACACAGGCCTACATGTGCATGCCGTTTAGTTTTCATCCTCATTCATGGCGATTGACAGCCTTTTAGAATCCCTGGATGGATTCGTTTATATGTATTTTTTTTTTATCTCATTAACACTGCACTGACATTAACACTTTTCATGTGACAGTGAATTTTATTATTCTAAACACATCGCAATATATTTAATTCGTCGGTGTTTTCACAAAGTGACAAAAACCCGCCAGCGGAAAATTGAAAATATTTCGATCTCGAGTTTTTCATTTTACTTCCTTTAATGTAAAGTACAAATTAGCAGAGTTTCAAAGCAAAATGTTGTTTAATTTCTTAGCAACTGGAAACAAATAACTACAAAAAGCTTAGCCTCTGTGTGTCTCTATTTTCACGAAGTGACAAAAAGTCACATCGTTTAATTCTTGCACGATTCTGGGTGCACACATGCGTGCCAACGATGCTGTACATGAACACCTGCACACATGTTGAAATACAGGATAGTTCTCTCCATGTGTGATTCGATGTTGTGCCGAGTAAAATATATATTTTCGGGCATTGTGCGGATCACCTTTGTAGCATATACAGAGTCTGCTTTTTTGTGACAGTCTGAAAAGAATTCACCCCGTTTATGTCCCCCGATGCTTCACTTGATCCCCATAGACTGTGCATGCATTTAGTTTGTGTCTTCATGCATGCCCAATAGTGACATAATGGTCGTCGGCTTGAAAAATTATTCTAGCAGACGCCGCATATTGGTGGTCACCCAAGTGAGGGATTTGTACTGCCACTCCCCTTGAAGACCTAGTGTGTGAATAAATTGCCAAGAGTCTATCAAATGGTGATATTTGATAGCTTCTGGTAAGAAAGACCGCGAACAAATAATCAAAGAAATTGGAAAATAACACTTTTACAACAAAGTATAATTATGAAAAGTTATCATTTTTTTACCTAGTTTTGTGGCTAATTTTCACAATTTTGCCGAGTTTACCTTCAAATAACTTTGATGCCATGTGAAAGACTAGTAACTCTTATGTACAAAAAAGGTTATTACTTCTAGGAAGAAAAGCGTTTTTAGAAATTCACTTTATTTTTCATTGGGACCCATTTTCGTCATTTTCCATATTTTTCACCTTACTTATTGCCTAATTTTCACACCTTTTTTCAAATTCCTCTAAGATCATCGGTGATACTGTCTGGTAAGACTGATAAATTTTTCGTATCTGTCAGCTCTTTTTTTCAAGATCGAAAGCCATTTGTCTGAAATGCAGTTCGTTTTGATGTGGATTCAAATTTCCGTACTGAGTTTGGCAGCGGTCAAAAAATGAGATGTCCGGATTTTGTGCATGGTTCACACGTACCCCTCCACCCACCTGGATACGAGTGCGTTCGGGTACGAGTTGACTTTTACTGCATTGCACTAATATGTCAATCACCTCAAATTGCCCGACTAAAAGGCATGAGCAAAAACTTTCCGTTTTCATCCATATGGATTCCTGCTTGCATGATATTTTCTCATTAGGGCATTCATAACATTCCTCACTATTCACAAGTAGAGAAATGTCAGGGAAAACTCGACAAAACTGAAAAAAATCCCCTCTTAAATGTTGGCTTCACTTCCAACTTCTGACTCTGTTTCTTTGGAGGTATGGAAGAAAGACGGGCAAAAATTTGGCAGAAAAAGGATTTTTATCATGTGTAAGTTGTCAAAAGGGACTTTGCGTGTTTAAATATTAATTGGTATGGAAATGAGGGGCAAACAACTTTTTCTGAGCTTGATGTTGATCGATTACTTTTGGGGTCCACCTGTCCGAGTCAAGAGCTATTTTACTGGCTTCTGGCTGTAGTGGGATTCAGTACACATGCGCACAACCTTCGTGAGGGGCGTGAACATATGTGGCTTTGAATTGCAGATACGGCGCGCACTTTACACATTCTGAGAATAATCAGTAGATATACATGAACATGTTCATGTACACCAAGCGTCTGTCTGTGCTCCACGCTGTTCGGGTTCGGGTTGACCGTGGTCACTGCGGCAGGCATGCATAATTCAAGAGCATCAGCATAATAATTGCGTTCATCCTGGAGCTGCCTCATTAAATGTTCTTTGCTTGAGTGAGCTTCAATGCAGTCGCCGCAGTTCCTAGCAACTGGGCTTAACCGCGGTGACCGTGTGCTGTTAAACCGTGGTGACCTTTTGGATAAGCTCCCTAAATGTCCAGATTAGCTTTCAGCAAAATGAAATGATTGCTTCCTTGGTTTGATATTTGTGTCCAGGAAATTTGAATAAAATGACCACATTCTATTCATCATGTTTCATTTTAAGAGGTTTTTGTAGTAGGTGACGTGATCTTGTTATTAGACAATGCTTAGGACACTTTAATTCTCTGACTGGGATTTTCACATGGGGACAGTCAAACTTCAGTGTTAGTGCTCAAGCTCAAGGTATGTCACAAATCAGTTTTTGTCAATCATTTGTCCTTGAGTGAGCTTTTTCTCTGGATGACAGTCTACATTTAAGCTTTCTGGCAATTTGTAGAGGCAGCAGACACTTCTTGGGATTTACTGTTAAATGAGAAAAAAGGGCAATTTGTAATTCATGGAAGTTGATGCATGTGTTTGCTTTGTTTGTAGGTAAATGAAGAGCACATTCAAGAACAAGAGATGTTAATACCATTTCCAGTAGAATTACAGAGTTCTGAGCAGAGATCCACATTGCCACAAGATGTCATGATGCTCCTTCATGCAGCACAGTCTATCTCAAGGTAATTTATTTAACCTTGTATGCAATTATATTGAATATTATATCTGTTGTTTTTACTTTTACAAAATTGTGTCCTAATGTTTGGGGGACAGGTACTTTGGATTCTAGAGTGGGGAGAGACTGGAATCTGTGAAATTACTCCCATGCCAGCAACTGTGATTTACTGACTGTGATTTATTCTAAAAAAAGGATGGCAGGAGATAGACTGTGCTAAAACGTGTTGTTCACTCAGCAGTGCACACTGCCAAGCATGGCAATTGAAAAGTTTGCAACAGTCACTCGACAATATCAATACCAATCATCTATATCAATAAACTACACGCAATCTGTATCTCAAGTGCAGCAACACATTAGTTACCCACAGTACTTTAGAAACAGAGTGTAATATTTTGGTTGCCTCTGGAAACAGTACAAACAATCTCTTTGGCTGCCACTCCTGTTACTATCGCAGCATACCTTAGTCTGCCACTTGCCTCCAAAGAATAAACACTAAGAAGGGTGGTTATGCTGTAAGCGATAAAAACCACTCTGACCAAGCTCCAACCCAGGCTAGCACCTGCTCCCTTCCCTATTAACAGTCCACTGGTCACACTATCCCATCCCTCCCCCCCCAATAAGGGAGTCACCACATGTCTAAGGCATATCCACCCAGGCACTGCTGGGGGAGGGGGGGGCTGGAGGGAGTCCAAGAGCCAAGTGCTAACGGCTGTCTGTGAGCCACTTCCATTTTTAAAAAAGGGGTGTATGTAATAGTAAAAAAGGAAAAATTATGTCCACAATTACATTCCCATGTTGTACGATATCTGCAATGATTACATATATGTTTCTTTCTCGTAAAAATAAGCACTTAAGTTGTTTATCTAGATGTAGATGGTATAGATGTAGATGGTATCAGAAACGAAATTATACTTTGGTTCCGGTACAGTGCATTCTATCCCACAAACGAGCCTGTGTAATGAATGTGCTTACCGTTTGTTTGCCTCTTTTGTGACTCCCCTAAAATCCATGAACAGAAAGGATTTTTTTTGTAAAATTGCTTATTAATGTTTCATTTTATTTCTTAGATATGTCACCAAAGGGTTGTTCTTTTGTCTGTAGAAATCCCTTGGTTCAACATGACTGTTTTTTGACCAACTTTTTTAATATGTTGAAAAATGTAATGGTTTTGCTAAAAAAAAAATTCCGTTGCATTGTAGTAGGATGCACAGGATGATGCAACACTCACCCATAGCCTGTAACACAATACTAAATACGGAATGCTGGAAACCAGACAAATGCCATGTGGTTGATAATTTTCATGCACAGTGTAACCTGCCAGACCCTCACCTTTAGGGCCTGGTGGCCACACAGCATGTGTAGTATCAGTGGCAGGGTCACACACATAGGGTTGCAACCCAGAGATGTGTGCGTGCATGTCTTCATGTACAAATAAGATACATCGTAACGTTGGTGGCGCTAAGCAGAGCATGTGCAACAACTAACAATAAAACAATAAAAACTCAACTCACAAAACCCAACAAAATCCAAACTTTTACCCGGACCAGAGCACCACTCCATCGAGGGTCACTCCACTTCCAAGAAGGGGATCTCACTGTCTGCTGTAAGCACAGGTGTTAACCACTTCGTGCTAGGGCATTTTTCAACGTTGATGATGCTGGGCCGGCATGACTGTCATTTTTTCCATTTTCAAAATCCTTCAACAATTCATCATTCCATTTAACAGTCGTTTATAGCCGCACGGAGTAATCTTTAGGCACTACTGTAAGTTGACAGGTGACCTTCATTGACGCCCAAATATTTCAGCCAGGCCTGCAGCCTTGTAAACAGAGTCCAGATTGTGCGGCGTTATACAACTGTCTTTTGTTCACGAACCTGGCTCAGTGCACTGCTGACCTCTTTTCAACAGGGGCCAGATTAGCATGCAGCGGTGCTGTGTGGCTCATCGCTGCGGCGGTTTTGTCCCCAGTGGTAATCCACTTGCTCTCAATGCCCCAAACCCTGGTATACGGTTTCAAAACAACGCTGGATTATCACCACTTTTGAGAGTGAAAAATGTTGATAATGCCCAGCAGCCTGGTCTTTTGTTCAGAGTATGGTCTTTTGTTACAGGGCCCTGTTTCCTTTGTCCGAGTTCGGAGACCCCGGCCACACATATAAACCATACGGCTCCAATTTCGGAGTCCCCGGCAGGTAGTGGTTAATGGTGCAAGCCGAAAACCAAGTTGAAAATCCAACAGCAAAAAAGCAAAAAGTGCTTGGGGATGTACCATACAGAAGAAAGAAAATAATAATAAAAAAATTCTAATAGAACTAGTTTAAAAGGGGACCCCTTTTACATTGTCCAACTCTATTGGTGTCCTTGCCAATATGTGGAATAGCTTTAATGTCCACTAGTGTTCTTTAGTGTCGTCAGTACAGTAAATGCTCTGGAGCTTTCCTGCAGGTAGATCTCGTGGATCTCGTCCTCATCACAGGTTCCAGCATGGCCGGGGGAGTTCACACATACTGGTTCTGATGTCACCAACTCTGCTGAGGGCTGTACACTCGTCTCTGCATCTACTCGCCTGAGAGGTGGGGTTGCAAGACGTCTTCAGGGGACTGGAGGCTGCTGAGCTGATGTAACCCCATTCCAAAAGAGGTCTTGGGTTATAATTTCAAATTTTATTTGTTTATGACTATGTTTTCTTTTGCATACTTAAATTGTTTTTTCCTGAGCTTTTGACTTTTCAACTGGTAAGCGGTGTTCCAGTGTTGAACTTTTGATCTATTAAATAAGTATTCCTTTTTTTCAAATAACTTGCTGTGTCATCAGTTTATCTTTATGTTCCTGTTTTCCTACAAGATCACATGATGCTCTTTGTATCCACTGCCTTTAATCTCTGACTAGTACACCAGTGTGCACACTCCCAGTAAATTTTACAAGAGATCATTGGGATGTTGGGACACTTTATCCCTAGTTGTAATTCACACCTTACCTCAGCTGTGAAAGTCATAAACTCCTGCTAAGTGCTCATCTGCCTAGATACTGAATGACGAATCAGTATTGGAATCGTGTGACATTTTTTAAGTTGTCCAATGGGAGCGTAAGCTAGTCATGTGGGTGGCAAGGGCATGTTCTGGGTGGTGGTTTGCCCCAGAGTTTTGGCAAGCTTGGCATTCCAAACTTTACCATCATGCTGACTACATGCTTGCTGAATTTTGTCTGCGCTCTGCACTATTTTTATTTGGACCCGAGGACCTAAAAATCCAAGTCTTCCCCTTATGTTCATGAGTGTTGGCTCTCTGAGTTGCTGAACTGCATATTCTTAAAGAGGGTCTGGAGGGGAGTATCTACAGTCTGCCTGAAGAGTTGTCCCCAGCTATCCCGGTCACCGAGCTATTGTGACTTGCAAACACAGCACAAGTACACCAAGGCATCTGTGGCATTAATCACTAGCATCAATCTTGAAAGATCTGCAAGTATTCCTTTGCATTATATTTCTTCTGCTAAACTTTTGCTCTTTACTTTTGTCAACTGGCCACTCAACATGACGGACTCCTGTTCTCCCACCTTGGAATGACTTGTCACAACTCATCTCTACATCCTTGAGTTCAAAGTGTATTCTAACTTAGGAGTCATCTCAAATCTCGTCCGGGACAAGTTGCGGTAAAACTGTAGGGAGAGTGAATCCTTTCCCCACAATTTTCCCGCAAGTAGCTGTGCATTTATTGAGGGGAAGTTATGGAATTTTGCATTAATAGATCACTTACTGTGAAGGTCAGTTTACATTACCAGTGGGCTTGTAATAGGTGGTCAGTATTTTAAGTGGTTTGCAGTTTCCAGAGACTGACCTTGGGTCATTCAACAAATTATGACTTTCTCTGTGGTCATGTGTTCAGTGTTGAAGACTGAATCAGATCCTTGTTTGGAAAAAAATAGACTTTGTCAGTCCCTCTGCTTAGTTTGCTTCATTTGCTCGTTAAATGTACAAGTTGTGTTACCTCTGCCCCTTGTTATACATGTTCCTCCATATCCAATCACTTCTGAATTCAAAACTGGGAGTGTTTACTTTAATATTTTTAAAGGTTCCTCAGCCAGAATTGTCTAATCATGATTGTAATAACAGATTTGCAGTATTTCACATCAAGAGACAATAAAATGCAAAGCAACAATATGCTTAACTTTCCATATATTAAACCATGATTTATTTGTCTAATAAAAAAGATATTACAGCAAGATTTGTTGAAATATGGGGCCTGTATATTATTTCTTCTTGTTAATGTCTTTATTATTATTATTATTATTTCTTATTTATACTGGGTCACTTGTTCAGTTCATAAAAAAAAAAATGTTCTCCTATGAGTCCCAGTAAACAATCATAAGACAAGAGAAAAAGAGAATTAAAATTGAACCAGGTAAAACTACGTATCTATAGATAAAAAATACTAAGAATAGTTGAAATAATATGAGTAAAGAAAGCTAAGAATATAAAGTAAGCAGAGTATCAATTATAAATTTACAATAAAACATTCCAGGTAGGTGATTTTTAAAAATACTTAAACTTGTTTGGATGGGATGCTTTAATGCCACAAACAGTTTGTTCCAAGCCTAAAATAGTGCCTTGCAGAACTCCAAATTGAACAAATTGTGTATCAGAAGTGACATCTCAAATTTTTGTGACCTGTTTACTCAGAGAAAGGTAGGAGGTGAACCAATGAAGTTCCACTCCATCCACTCCCATAGATTGCATTTTTAAAAAGTAAAATAGAATGATTGACCGTGTCGAAAGCTTTACACAGATACATAAAAAACAGCTCAGTTAACATGCCAGAATCAAAAGCTTTTAACAAAAAATCAGAAGCATCGATTAAAGTAGTGGTAGTTGAGCAGCAAGGTCTAAAACCAGTCTATTGCAAGGCTAAACCGTTATTGTTAATTAAGAAATGAAAAAGCTGGTTGTAAACTACATGTTCAAAGATCTTCCTGACAACTGAGATAACAGAAATTGGTCGATAATTGTT